TTTGTTTAGAACAACCCGTAATACTCCATAAGATTAGTTACTACAGCTTATAATACCTCATCAGATTAGTTATTATAGCTCATAATACTCCATAAGATTAGTTAATACAGCTTATAATACTCCATAAGATTAGTTAATACAGCTTATAATACCTCATAAGATTAGTTATTATAGCTTATCATACTTCATGGTTAGAATGTAGTAGAAGTGCAATAACACTTAGAATTTTGTTTAGAACAACTCAGCTGTTTTCTGTAACCCTCTAAAAATGTGAGAAATAAAGTTATTTAATAAGTTAAGAGTTATATGGCCACATACTGTGAGGATATAACAATCACAAATCACTCTCAGACATAGAGCTTTTCCTTTTCAGGGGTAAACATAATGCTAATAAATCTGTTGTTGTCACAGGAAGTGCTTTAGGGAATAAGGGGAAAGAATAGGCATGGAAAACACATCATAAACAATTCAGAAGTAAGAAAACATAAATAATTTATATGTGTGAAAAAAATGTAAAATAAGCTAATAGCTATAGCTAAGAGAATGTAATATTATTAAAACTATAAAAAAAAGTTATAACATTAAAAAAACATAAATAGATCGCATAATGTATATGTATATAAAGCTAGAAAATTTTAAATCCAAAATATACCCAAAACAGAAACCAGTCAAAGAGACATAAGATAGAGGGAACTGGTGAGATTTGATAACAACAACAAAAAACACAAGAAAGGCCAAGTTTTTACCAACATAGAAGATACTAAATAGAAGAATGATTTTGTTAGAGAGAATAATATTATTTATTTTAATAATGTAGAAAATACTAAATGTCAGAGATTAGTTTTTATCAGCAACTAAGATTATTCAAGGTGATAGTGTTATTAACTACTTTAATTCTGTAAGTTTTAGATTTATGGCCTCTGATACCTATAAGCATCATGTCATTGATAGAATAATCCATAAGAATACAATGTTGTGCAGTTGAAAGTTTTATTTTAAATTAATTTTTAATAATTATTAAAATGCTCTAAAATGGTCATCTGGTCTTATCAAACAAGTTGATAGATAACTCTTTCAATACGGGGTCAGTCAATGTGACGACCTCATTACCATTTTGTGCTTGTTATAGTTCTCATGCTATAACTTGTAGATTAGTAAGCGAATGTTAATGAAATTTGGCACATTATCAGTAAACATTACAATGCTGTAATATGCAAAATATCTAATTTTTTATTAAGTCATAAGGTTTGTAAAGCAATGTTTCTACCATGTCTTTTTTTTTTCTTTTCACATCTTGCCTATCTATCAAGCAAAGTAATTTTCATTTTAACATTAAAAATACTTTTATGCATCAGATAATTTTGAAATTTCACATGCAAAGTCTTTATAATGTTCAAATAGTTATCAAACATTTCTTAAGAAAAAAATTTATATTTTATCTGTTATTTTCAGTAATTAAACTCTGTAAGGGGTTTGGTAGATTTGAACGATCTTGCAATCACCATACAAAATTAGAAAATAATTATAAATTATGCCTCTTTCATTCTAGAATGAACACAAATTATAGCATGAAAACATAAATGTTTAGAAGAAATAGCTTAAATCTCATAAGATTATACATTTATATATATCTATTATTTTTATTATACTGACTTTTCACCCATGCCTGGTTAACAATACAGAAGTTACAATGATGC